GAAGGGCAGGCACCATGTGTGAGTGGCCCACAGGGGACTGCTATGAAACTCTCCTATCAAGAGTACTAGGATGGCACCAAGACCAAGAATGGGGCACTCACAAGCACCAGCTCTCCATGTGGACACACTATTCCAGAATAAAAATGACTTTTATTTCACAACTGAGGCTACGTCTAGACTGCAAGCCTCTTTTGAAAGAGGCTTTTTTGAAAGATACTTTCAAAAAAGACTCTTTCGAAAAAGAGCGTCTAGACTACAACCAGTACTTTTGAAAAAGCAAGCCACTTTTTCAAAAGAGAGCACCCAGGCAGTCTGGATGCTCTCTTTCAAAAAAGCACAATTTGCATTAAATAGTGCCTTTTTTTGAAAGAGCACTTTTGAAAAAAAGGCGTTATTCCTCATAAAACGAGGTTTTCTGTGATGAAAAAACTGCCGCGTTCTTTCAGTTTACTTTTGAAAGAACATGGCAGCAGTCTAGACGCAGGGAAAGTTATTTTGAAAAAAGGTCACTTTTTTCGAAATATACCCTGCGTATATTTAGTCTAGACATACCCTGAGTGTCCACATAGGGAGCTATTTCAGAGCTTCATTACTCTGGAATATTTATTCTGCTATGACTATGCTAATCAACTTTCCTATAAGAGTTTTAAGGGGGGGAGTTTGGGAAGAAGACCTGGAAAACAAATGGTGAAGGAGGAACTGAAGAGCAACAAGAAGATTGCTGAGGGGCAGAATGGAATGGCTGGTAAGACTGGCAATCGGGGAGAAACTGATGGGTGGGCAAGTTTGCCTGATTAAAAAGTTTTGTCATAACATGAGCGCTACAGCAGTTTCTTGGCTGAGCAAAGTGAAGTCTTACACTCCACTCAATAAAAAACGGGAGTCTTGTTGCATCTTAGAGACTTCCAGATTTATTAGGGCATAAGTTATTGTGGGTAAAATCCACTTCATCCGATGAATTGGAGAGGAAATTACAGAGGCAGGGGTATATGTTTAAAAGTACAACAAAAGAAAATGTACTTATCAAGCGTAGGCCCTCACTAATACTGGCATGGAGTAGAATAGGGACACAAAATTCCTGGCATAAGGGAGTGGGGGGGAGGTTGCCAGGGGCAGGGTGTCCCTGAAATAGAGGGGATGGAAGGGTGGCTCATATGGAGCGTGGAGGAAATGGAGGGAGTGGGGGCCCCGGGTCATGAAATGTGCTTGGGCTATAAAAGCAACAGAGTGCAGCTGCAGTTTGTACTGTGTCTCTGGTGTGCTGTGCTGTTAAAGTGAGGTGTTGGGGGTGTGATGGGATTCATAATGTTTTTAATATTTCATCTAGATTCCGTGCTTATGTAAAGGGCCAGCTGAGAGTCTGAAGGTCTCTCTGGCTTCCTGCATTGAGAGAGAATAATTTAGGATGTGTCCACTCAGTGCGTGGCCCGACACTTCATTGCTGATTAAGTAGTTACAACTTGTCCAGCTGTAGGAACCACATTTCTTTCCCAAAGACTACAAAGTAGCCTTCTTTGCGTAACAACTTTCTATCAGCAAAGACCTTTGCTGAATTTCAATTGGCTCAATTTCATTTCCAATCTTGAGAGTCATGCAGACCTCTTTAATGGGCTCTTGGTAAAATATATTTAAAGGGACCCTCTACTACCCGCAGACTGGTTCTGCATGTTTTTTGTGTGTGAATTTACTTTAAATTTCTATTCAGATAAAAACAATCTCTCATTTCAGAATTTGTTTAACATTCATTGAGCAAATATTGATTAATCATGTCAAAACAGACAAGGAAACCACACCAGCTTTCCAGGCAGAGACTAAATGGATCTCATAAACGTTGTGCGTACATTTCTAGATCAGATTTTGTTCGGAAGGGTGGTGGTTCATCCTGTAACGCACTGACCTAAACAGTGGGCAGGGCTAAAATAGCTTTCTCATGCCACCTACTGGCTTACATAATATGTATTAAGCATCAACATGCTTTTCTTAAAGTAATATTATAGCATTAAACATTCATGCTGTAACTGAATCCACATGAGCAACTTTATTTTTTTCTACTTTGTAATCCACTTTGATAAGAAAGCAGTAAATCTAATCACTAGCCAATTTTTGTTTTCAAAATGCATTTTCATATGGGAACAGCAAACATATTCAAAGTTTGCACTAGAGGTTTCTTATGCATCTTCACTATGCAGATCATATCTTAATAGAAGCGGTCTTGTGAACACCTTCTCCTATTTGAAATCAATTACACGTAGCAACTATGGCATTGGCTTCCGTAGAATGATGATGGAGCCTCACATCAATGTCAATGTACAAGGAGTCAGCAAATGCTATAGACAGTGGTTCTGAAACTGTGGGTCAGGACCCCGGAGTGGGTCATGACCTTTGGGGTTGCCAGGGCTTAGACTTGCTAGGGCCTGGGGCCAAAGCCAAAGCCCAAGCTTTACCACCTGAAGCTGAAACTCTCCGGTTTAAGGGTTACAGGCTCACCTCGCCTGGGCCTTAAGTTTGACCTTTGCACCCGCTACGTCTAGACTGGCATGATTTTCCGGAAATGCTTTTAACGGAAAAGTTTTCCGTTAATAGCATTTTCAGAAAAGCATGTCTAAATTATCAGGACGCTTTTCCGCAAAAGCAATTTTTGTGGAAAAGCATCCGTGGCCAATCTAGACGCGCTTTTCCGCAAAAAAGCCCCGATCGCCATTTTTGCGATTGGGGC